GCCGTTGCGCCAAGGTAATAGAGTAGGAAAAAAAGCAGAATATTACCGAAGAGAACAAAAGAACCAGAAGACCCGGACACAGATCTAGAATACTGGTTATATAAGAACAGGAAGAATCTACATCCTCAGAAGACCAGGAGCAAGAGGTTGTCAAAAGAAAAAAGGGAAAGATATACAGTATATAGAAATCATTAAGGATTGGATTTGTCATGGAATCAAATAGTTCAGTTTTTAACTGTAGGCAGAATTTAGAATGATCTATAGTAATGACCTGTAGACAATGATTTAATTGACTAGAGGATTTATCCAAGTCAGTTAAGGAGTGAAATATCATTCCTTAAGTTACATCTAGAGAAATAGTTTTTCGACAATGGGTGAGTTAGTATGTGAAAGTCAAAATATCCTATAAATATCTTTGTATATATACAATAAAGACATGTCATGCTAACCTGAATGGAAGTTAAAAAAAAAAAAAAAAAAAACTAGTTAAAAAATATTCAATTTTTGTGCAAGTTTAATAAAAAGAAATTCAATAAAAAAAATAGTAAAACTGAAATATTAGGAAAAATAAATTTCAAAAATAGTTAAAAAATAAATAACAAAAATATAAAGAAAAGTTTATGATTATATTTAAAAGAAGATTTGAAATTTGAATAATAAAAAACTATTGAACTTATTAGTCAAGAAAACCAAAGCTTAGGAAATTAAATAATAAAATAAGAAGAAAAAATATTAAAAAATAAAAATTTAAAAAAGATTTTAGTGAAAAAATTAAAATATAAATGAAGTAATTAGATTTTAATTACTGTCAAAACTTATTGAATAGTAACCTGAAATAATAAAAGTTAATAATTGAAAGAATTTTTATTTGAACTACTAAGGAGTGATAAATTATTCTTGAAGTTGTACTTAGAGTTAAAGTTGTTAGCTTTAACAATATATAATATATATATAGTTTACAAATTGTTTAATAAAGTATACATGACTAATTTAATAGAGTTAAAAAAACAATTATTATGAAAAATATGATTTTAAAATTAGTATTGCAAAGTATTCAGAAAAACATATATATTTTAAAGCATATGAAATTTTTTAAATAAAATTTTTAATTTTTTTTAAATGTATAAATATTTGTAAATTATATTTTATATATAATTATAAATAAATATTACATTTAAATTTCAAAAAATAATAAAATTTGTTATGTTATTTTTTAAAGAGAGCGCATTTAGGATCAATCCATAATCTATAACTTCTAAAGTTTGAACTAAAGATTTATCCATTTTGTTACCAAAAAGGATAAGACAATCAGTATATTGGAAAATTCCGATCTACATCAAGGGCCCACTGATGCAGACCACCTATTATATCCTTTACATCACTTTGCATCGTGTCCTTCAAAAGGTTAACAGCATATTGAGAGTCGTTACCCATGCGACAGATAATATATACTAATAATGACTTAATTATTAACACTTTTCCAATAATTTTTTTTAAAAAAAAAAATGAATAAAAAAATCACCTGGGGCATTATCGAAAGGTAATAACTGATGAACTTCCGTAATTCTACTAGGAAGTTCCCTCAATGGAATATCTATTTGAAGGAAACAAAATTACATTTGACAAATTAAAAAAACCATAGTAATTGGCTAATAATATTACTTACTTAATGAACCAGGCAAACTGCAAATGTTAAATTGCACAGATTCTCGCACATCGAGAAGAACATGAGGAGTGCCATTTAAGCGTATTTCATTATATGTCTATCAAGATATTAGGAGATTAAAATATGAATACTATATAAACCCTTTCACCAAGAATATCACCTTTGGATTGATTCTTTGGTTCTCTTCAATTAAATTCACAGAAGGTAACTAATAGTTTGAATTTACATTAGATTCCGCTAATATCAAAGGATGTTGATTAAACAGGTAATACCTTGTCTATTGGTCCGCTTCCACAAAACTGAACGTAATCTTGAAGCGTTTTTATTGTTGGATTTTCACCACACACCGCACAATCAAATTTTTTCGACCTTAATTTAATTGATCTAAAAAGAGGGTTTGAAATAGCCGAGAAAAGCAGTAAATTGTGAATACTCCCGTCATCTATATTTCAATGAGGATGTAAGTAAAAACTGTTTAAATTCAATTGTCGCGTGAAGCTAGGCTTTTTTTACCATTAATATTTGCAGCAATCTTTATGGCTTGTAATGCCTGCAAACATCCAATTATCCCAGGTACTAAGAAAAATATGATGATATCAAGGTAGATAATAATAAGAAGTCGTTAATAAAAAACTTGCCATAATATTTAGAACTATCGTGCTAGAAAGAGAAAAAAAAAACACTAACCTACACCCATAACACCGCCGTCAGTACAATTCAAAACTGATTCGGGTGGCGGGGGATTTGGAAATAAACATCGATAACATGGTCCGCCTAGATAGTTGTACACAGCCAACTGTCCATCCATGCGCAATGCACTACCAGAAACCAAGGGCCTTCTGGTTATAACACACGCGTCATTAAGAAGGTAACGCGTAGCGACATTATCAGTTGCGTCGATTACAATATCATACCTAAAAGTTCTATTGTTTAGATAGTTCTCCTTTAAATAACATTAAATTAACAAACTAACTTTTGGATTATATCCAAGGCATTTGAACTGTCCAAAAGGATATCGTATGCAATGCATTCGCAGGATGAATTTAACCTAATTAGGAAAAGATATTATGATCGTATATAAATAATAAAAGTTCTTTCATTTACAAGCAAAAATTGAATACCATTTATATACCCTTCGATAAAAATTTTTGCTGATTGAGACTTGGACATACCAACTCTTGATTCATTGTGAATTATTTGGCGATGCAAGTTTGAAGGTTCGACTGTATCATAATCTATTATGCCAAGTCGACCTATGCAAATGGATTAAATTTAATGAATAATACGAATGAATATATATTCGGAAATGGTATTTTTTACGTACCAACTCCAGAAGATGCAAGGTATATTGCAGCGGGAGCTCCCAACCCCCCAGCCCCAACTATCAAAATTGAAGAATTTTTGACTTTGATTTGACCTTTAAAGATAAATACAAGATATTTTTAAACCGAGAAAACTAATTCCTAATTTAATTAGAGAAAGCTCTTGGCCTACCTGATATACCAAAATCCGGAAGAATTAGCTGGCGCCCATATCGCAAGTATTCAGATATTTCTAATTCTCCCTTCTTTTGTTTTATCTCTTCTCGGGAACTCTTTTTTGTAGAAGTTAGTGCTTCAAGTCGATCTTCCAGCTCTTTAATTCGAGCTTTAAGAATTTCATTTTCTTTCTTTAATACCTCAGACATTTAAAACTTCTAATTTTTCCGATCCAGTTTATAATTTTTATAATCAGATTTATGTGAAACCTGATTGGGCGGGCGTATCTTATTACATTTTTTTACTATTTTTTTTTACGCAGCAAAAGCCATACTCTATTGATTCAATTGATGTAATAAAGAAGGAAAATTATCCTAAATTGTATACCCGATCTATTTCTCAAATAAAATAGACGATAGGATAAATATCCATCTTGTGATTGTTGTCATCTCAATAGAGCCAGGTGAACTAGTCTAAAGGATACTAGTGTTAATATAAATTTCAATACGAAAAAGAAAAATTAAAAAGTGCGTTCGGATCTATATTTATTATAGACTTATAGATTTGTTTAGAATTTGTGTTCGATATCTTTCTATTCTATTTATTTTATTAAAATAAAAATATAAAACAATAATTATATAAGCTTAAATAAAAGTAAAGATTTTGTATTACAAAAAAGGTATCGGAAGGAATGAGGGAATGGTTTGGTTATGAGTAATTTGAATACATGCTATTACTATCACTTTGGTATTATAGGTTGATTATTCTTTGAAAGCTTCATCTGTGATAGCTATTTTTTTACTACTTTCAATATTTTTATGTTATGATCCTTGTCTCAGTTTTTTACCTTTTCTTTTTACATTTTATTTAATATGGAATCTTTTACTGATGTTCTTTTAAGTAATGATAAGTTGGGAATTTTGAAGAAGTTCTAGGATATAAAGAAGAGAAGTAGCTCACTTGATGTCATTAAAATATCTATTAGTATAATAAGTACTGAAGAAAGTTGAAAACTCATTATTTAACAATTTGCTTTTCTTTAATATTGTAATAACTTTAACTTAT